GTCCCTAATGAAAAGCCCCTCTCCAGCATCCTTGTAGCCCCCTTCAGATACTGGAAGCTGCTCTGAGGTCTCCATGTAGCTTATCTTCTCCAGGCTGAATAGCCCCAACTTTCTCAGCCTGTCTCCATACAGGAGCTGCTCCAGCCCCTGAGCATGCTCTTGACCTCCTCTGGACTTGTTCCAGCAGCTCCATGTCCTTTTTATGTTGAGGACACCAGAACTGCACACAATACTCCAGGTGAGGTCTCACAAGAGCAGAGCAGAGGGGCAGGATCACCTCCTTCGACCTGCTGGTCACACTCCTTTTAATGTAAAATCCCTCTAAAGCATTCTTGTTGGGAAGCAGCTGTACAAATGGATGGGCTTGTCCTCGGGCAGGCTGCCTGCCTGCTCTGGAGAGGAAGCTGCCAGGGATACTTTGCTTTTCTTTTGTAACAGCTATGAATGGGCCCTGGTTTTGCATCCCTTTGCTTACTGCTGCTCATTCTATTGCTACCTTGTTACTGAGCTGCTTCCCCCCTAGAAAGACCTCATGCTTAAAATGTCTCTGGCTTAATTTATTCCCCGAAGGGTTACATTTCCATTCTTGGCTGGTTTGGGGTTACTGACCCTTTTTAAGCCCAGAACAGAAGCTTGCCTTAGGAATCTTATCGGGTTTTGTTTACTTGCTCTGCTGAATGTGTAGAACTCACTGGGGGGTTCGTGGTCCAGCTCTGAATGTGGAAAGAGACCACAGCCAAGCCTCGCTCCCTTGCAGAAAGATGCAGAGCTATTTCCTTTGCTCAAGCAAACAGGAGGCACACACTCACCTGGCTGGATCTGAGAGTCCTTGTTCCTGTGTGGCTCACACAGCACCTGCCCTGCATCTATCTGGGACTTCTCCATCCTCCATCTGAAGGTCAGCCCAAGCTGGGTGGTGAGGCCGAAGTCAGTGGGAGTGAACTGCGGTCCCTGACACCCCAGAGGCACTGGTGCTTCAGCACCTTCATTCTGAGCAAGATAAAACACTGTTTCTGGTGCAGCTATTGACAGAGCTGAAATCTGAGTGAGGTGGCTACAGGCTGTCTCTCAGCATCAGTCTTATAGCTTGAGGAGGCCTGCACAGTGTCTGTTGGGCTGTCTCTGTACCCTTCACCTGAAGATCAGGGCTAGAGACATCGTGGGGTGGTGTGGTACCCACCTTGATGGACATGCACATGGCTGTGTATGTATTTCATCTTGTGCTTTGGTTGTTCCTGTGTTTTACCTTTCAGCTGTATCTGTGCCAAGTCCCACTAGAAAACACACGGTATTTTCAATGTCAACTAATGTGTTAAAATCCTCCTCTGCACCAGGTCTCTTCCATTTTAACTGTGTTGGCATGTTCAGGCTTGCAGATGGGGATGTCTGATTTCCTTGGTGAAGCAAATGAATTCCAACTACGGTATCAGCAGAAACCTGGATGTCAGCAGGATAGGGTGAGGCAGGGGAAAGGGGCTCCTGGATAGCTGTTACTGTGCTGTGTCACATACAGAATCTGTTGGGTTTATACTTCATCCTTTTGACTCTAGCCGATGACCATGGTCCTGTTTGAGTAACACGACACAGCAAGCAGGGATGAGGGATGCAGCTGGGCTTAGATGTGTCCTTCCATGGGGCAGCCACCTCAGCTCTGCAGTTCAGATCCATCCTTTGCAGGTACAGAACTTGGGACCCAGTAAGAATTTCTGCTTGGTTGTGGGACCTGCAGTAATGTCTGTTCTTCCTTGTTTCCATACCAGGACAGTTCTGGTGTATTTGCTCTGTTCTCTACCCTTCTAATTGCAGGCAAACTGCAAATTTGATCAGAGATGCTATGAACTGGCCTTATGGGCCGGGAGCAGCACAAAGCCTACCTGGAGGTGTAAGCTGGATCCATAAATTCAGTGACACATTATTAGCTTATGTTGTTTCTTTCTGGTTTGTTTGTGAGGCTGCAAAGTGGACCTGTAGTTTTAATTGAGAGTTTGGTGTCCTTTGGTACTCATTGACTTCACTGGGATCATTCTCGGACATCCCAGTACCCCATTTGGTCCTCTACAAATGGGATGAGACCAGGATTGGTGGCTGGTGACCTGTAAACGACATAACTGATGTTGACAGTAGGGCTTTATACGTACCAAAGTATAAACCCAGTGTATGGCTGTAGCTAACAGAATAAAGGCTGTAAGTTAAGGACATGGTGAGGGACTTCTTCCCCAGCAAGCACCAGGAAGTCGTAGCCTCTCCCCCTTTGCCACACGTGCTTTGAAAGAGCGCATTTAGTGAGCTCTGCTGTAGCTGTTCACGCCCCTCCTCAAGCATTGTACCAGAGATGGCACTTCATAAATGACAGTGGCTTTCCTGGCACGCTGCAATGCCTGGAACCATGGCAGTGGGGTTTTACAGCAGCTTTCCAGTGCTGTCAAGGCAGCCAACAGCTCCCTGAGGAGCAGGGCTGGGGCCTCCGGCTGAGCCCATAAATACTGTGCCAGGCTCCTGGCCCTGCCCCACGGCGCTGTGCTGGGAATCTCCCAAGCACTTTGGGATCCAGTTGTGCCTCCCACCACATCCGGACACAGGGGATCTGCTCTGGTTCCATCCTGGAGGATGGAACAGGGGGTCTGCAGAGCACCTCACCCTGGACCCCAGTGCTCCGGTTTCCACAGCAAAGAGAACAGGAATTTGGTGAAAATACAGAACTTTTTCCTCTTTCCACATTAACAGGGCTGATGGACAGTCACTGGGGCTGATGGGCAGTCACTGGGGCTGATGCGCAGTCACTGGGGCTGATGGGCAGTCACTGGGGCTGATGGACAGTCACTGGGGCTGATGGGCAGTCAGTGGGGCTGATAGACAGTCACTGGGGCTGATGGACACTCACTGGGACTGATGGACAGTGACTGGGTCTGATGGGCAGTCACTGGGGCTGATGGGCAGTCACTGAGGCTGATGGGCAGTCACTGGGGCTGATGCGCAGTCACTGGGGCTGATGGGCAGTCACTGGGGCTGATGGGCAGTCACTGGGGCTGATGGACAGTCACTGGGGCTGATGGGCAGTCACTGGGGCTGATGGACAGTCACTGGGGCTGATGGACAGTCACTGGGGCTGATGGGCAGTCACTGGGGCTGATGGACAGTCACTGGGGCTGATGGGCAGTCACTGGGGCTGATGGGCAGTCACTGGGGCTGATGGGCAGTCACTGGGGCTGATGGACAGTCACTGGGGCTGATGGGCAGTCACTGGGGCTGATGGACAGTCACTGGGGCTGATGGACAGTCACTGGGGCTGATGGGCAGTCACTGGGTCTGATGGGCAGTCACTGGGGCTGATGGGCAGTCACTGGGGCTGATGGGCAGTCACTGGGGCTGATGGGCAGTCACTGGGGCTGATGGGCAGTCACTGGGGCTGATGGGCAGTCACTGGGGCTGATGGGCAGTCACTGGGGCTGATGGGCAGTCACTGGGGCTGATGGACAGTCACTGGGGCTGATGGGCAGTCACTGGGGCTGATGGACAGTCACTGGGGCTGATGGACAGTCACTGGGGCTGATGGGCAGTCACTGGGGCTGATGGGCAGTCACTGGGGCTGATGGGCAGTCACTAGGGCTGATGGGCAGTCACTGAGGCTGATGGGCAGTCACTGGGGCTGATGGACAGTCACTGGGGCTGATGGGCAGTCACTGGAGCTGATGGACAGTCACTGAAGCTGATAGACAGTCACTGGGGCTGATGGACACTCACTGGGACTGATGGACAGTGACTGGGTCTGATGGGCAGTCACTGGGGCTGATGTCCCCTCTCTTGTGCTACTTGAATGAAATCAGGGCTATCAGTGTCTGTTATTAGGAATGTGATGTAACTGTTTGTTCCCTTTTCTAAGTCATGAGCGCCCGCTGTTGAAAGCAGCCCCTTTGCCTTACACAGGGGTACAGCCCAGGGAAGGTGTGCAGCCAGGATACCACTCCTGTGCCCAGAAAGAGAGCCTCGTGTTCTTTCCTGTTTATGCACGATGAAGCAGTAATTGCAAAGGAACCAACCAAACTGCATCTGTTCCCTTGGAGTGGTGAGTAATGCTCCCCCAGATTCACTCGTGGCTGTAAGGAGCTGGGATACCGGTGCGGGGTTGTGGTGGGATGGAGGCAGAAGGGTTTAGCTGGAAGTCACCAATGTGGATTTTTGTTGCTGTGCAAAGAAATGTTTGCTTGCAACTCTGAGTTCTTAAACTCTGATGAGAAAACCTCTGTGGGTTTGTTCTGTGGGGTTCAGCACAGGACATTGTGAACACCAAAGGGCCTGTGGTAGGAAAGCACAAACGTTTCTGTAGGAGGTGAGGATGTCCAAGGTCCCTTCCACCCAGACCATGCTGTGATTCTGTGCTAAAGCCAACGCCGAGCGCAGGCTCACAGCCGAGGGCTCCATCCCTGTTTGATCCTGCTGACTGTACCCGCCAGTGCACAGCCCCTGCCCCCTCTTTGGGATGGGTGTGCTCGGGTGCTCCCCCGAAGTCCCTGAAGCCCTTTGTGCATTGGGGTGCCCTCGGGCTGGGTCCGCACCGGCTCCGTGAGGGGCTGAAGCGCTGCGGGACCGGGACCGGGGACCTGGGGCTGGGGGGGGGAGCGCTCGGCCGGGCTTGGGCTCCGCGCTCTGCTCCTCCCCTGGAGCCGGGGCAGCACCGCACCTGCGGCGGGACGGGACGGGAGGGGACGGACGGGAGGGACGGGACGGGAGGGGACGGGCGGGAGGCGGTGCCGCTGCCAGCGGAGGGGTTTGTGGCGAGCGGTGACTGCGGCAGGGACCGAGCGCGCCCGGCCGGGGGCTCTGCCCTCGCTGCGCTGAAGCCGCCGCTCTCGTTGGCATCCCCAGCGCTGAGGTCCCGGCGCTGAGCCGGGGAGCTGTTTGCTCCCACAGCGCGGAGCTGCTGGGCTGGGAAGGAGCCGTTCTCGCACCGCCTGCGCCCTTCCATCGCTGTGGATATGAGCCTCGCGTCCGGATTCATTCAGCCCCAGCACCATAAGTAAGGTTCTGTTGGTTTGGTTTTCGCTCTGTGTGTGTGTTCGCCGTGTTTTCACTCCGCGGCTGGGGAGCTGCAAGGGGCTGCCAGACTAAGGTTGAACAGGAAAAGAACTGGAAAGCCCGCAGGGTTGTGTTAGTGCACTGAGTGTCTGAGCACGGAGCAGAGCTTCCCCGCTCTCCTTGTCGGGAACATGCTGAAGTCGCTCACAGGGTCGACCTGCGATCCCCGCGTTTTCATGGTGAGGAATGTACCGAGTGCCCCAGGCACTTCCCCGCTGCAGGAGGCGTAGGGTTTGTCAGCAGACACCGCACTGACCCGCGCTGCTGGATGGAGGGCTCGGGCTGGAGACAAAGCGCAGCCACCGGTGGCTTCGTGGCCCCAGCGGAACTCTCGGCTGGGCACCGTGTGCTGGCCAAGGGCTGGGGGCGTTCTGGTGCGGCCCAGGGTGCCTGGGTACCGCCTGCCGTGTGTTTGCCTCCAGTGTGCCTGGAGGAGGGGGGCATCCCCATGGGTGCAGCAGTGTGCAGTGCTTTAGAAGCCTGTGAAGTGGAGGGGGCTGTTGCCTACATCGCACAAGGAATTCCCTCTGTATTTTTCAATGCAGAAAAAGAGAGATCCGAAACCTGCAGCGGCTCTTAGAGCAGCGCTGAGATCTGCATTTTCCCGGTAGATGAGCGGCTTCAGCTGCAGCAGACCCAGCCCAGGAGCTGGGGAGCACCTTGTGCCGCAGAGGACACAGCCATAAACGCCAGCCCGCAGCTGGCAGCAGGCTTGGCTCCTTTGTTGGCAGTAGTTCAGGAGGGTTTCCTGCCCAGCCCTGCTCCTACCTGTCTGCTGCTACTGAAAGCGTGACTTGTATTCGTTACACTGAATGCCTTTTCTTACTTGGGGCACTAACAGTGGATCAGTCCGGATTTAGTGCACAAAGGAGCTGGAAGAGTCTGTGAGTGATGCCCCACTGTGGTCTCGGATCAGCAGTTACTGGGGTAAATCCAGGGGTGCTGAGCACTGTGGGTGCTGGTGTCTGCTCACCAGGGTCACCCCTGTGTGGGGTTCTTGTGCCCTTGTGCCAGGCTCGGACCAGCGTTGCTGAGGAGCTGGGAGAGGCTGAGCTGGGCTGTTGTTGGGCATGAGGGAGAGCGAAGAGATGTGGTGGGGACGATTGTGCTGCTCGCACTGAGTCACAAGCATGGGGAACCGCAGCTAAATCCTAGTGTGTTAGGCCCTTGGAGGCTTCTGAGCCTGTGATGGAAGCCTCAGAAAGCTTCACCTAGCACAGAAGCAAGGGTATTCATCCCTCAGAAAGAACACCCTCAGCCAGCGAACAGGAGCGGTCGATTCACACCCCATGGTTTGTGCTCCTAAATGCAGAGAGCTCTGCCATGAAAGGCAGCTCAGCTGAGAACTCATTCCAGACTGGTCTGGGTCCCAGTGTGAGCCATGGGTGCTTGCTCAGTCCCATGGGTATCTCAGTGTAAGGTATTCCAGGAGAAGCTGTTGCCACCTCCCTGCCTCTGCTGGATGCAGTGAGAGGTGCCTGAAGGCACATCTGGGATCCTCTTCCTCCCTGGGCTGGTTCCTGGCATCTGCGTGCCATTGGGTAAGGGATTGCCCTCAGGCAGCGAAGGGTTCAGAGAACAGAAGGGACTGGCCGGGGCGGCGTGAGATGGTATCAGAACTGGGAGAAGTGGTTTCCTACCCTGGGAAACCAGTGCTGGTTTGACAAATCATTCACAAATGATACTGGACTCCAGCCATGGGTTGGCTTGGCTGGGCAGGAAGGTGGAGGATAGGCCACAGACTTCAACCCGTTTGGCCTGGGTCCCTCTCTTTTGATTGCTGTTGTCCTGATTTGCTGCAGGTAGCTCCTTTTTCCTTCTCTTGTCACAGGTGCTGTTTTGGCAGTGGGTTTGAAGGTGAGCTTCCCATAGGTCTGGCCAAAGGAGCTGGTTTTGCTGGGTTTTCCCTCTTCTCTCTGGGCTATGCCTGTCACGGGAGCTCAAGCAGCTCTGGGCACCAGCAGCGTGGTGGGGTTTGTCCATTCCAGTTCAAACCCTGGTTCTGAATTAACATTTACAAGGCTTCTAATCCAAGTGTGCCTGAGACCCTGGCCTGGAACCAGTGGGAAAACACCTCTGGCTTGTTTTGCTTCCGTGCGCTGTCTGCAGAGGCAGCCCTGCCCTGCAGGATGCACCGTGTTTTCATGGTGTGGATGCACTTTGCTGGTCGTGGTGGAGCTGCTGGGGCTCCTGTGAATAAGTGCATTCACACAGAGGGAGAGGAGGGGGGTGCGTGGCCCAGTGTTTTAAGGCAAAAAGTTGGATTTGGGAGCTCTGCAGTTCCCAGCCCAGTTTAGACCTCGCTCCTGGGCAAGTTTCTGACAAAGCCTCTCTGGTTCATATTTGTGGGCATGGCTTTTGAAGCGAGAGCATTCCTTTCTGGGGACCTGCCTTCACTGCCCCTGTCCTCATCGTCTGTGTGAGCTGGGGCGTTCCAGCCCCTCGGTGTGTAAGCCAGGTACAATGACTGCTGTTTGCTCTTGGTGCTGCTACTGCACGGTGCAGTTGCCTGCAGCTTGTGTAACTGTCTTGGCAAGGAAAGGAAATGCTTTTAATCTGTGTTTTAACAGCAGCTGAACCTGGAGGGCTCATGTCAGGACCTGAGACAAACGCTCACATATAGGTGCTGGTCCGAGCTGGGGACTCATAGAGCATAGGCTCCACAGGGAGCCGGGTGCTTGCCTCAGGCCATGGCTATGCCTCGGCTCCCATTAGCCGATTGAACTTGGGTTTTTTTTTCCTCCTTCTTCCCTCTTTTGAGCCTCACAAGGTGAATTCAGGCACATTCCGGTCTCTCTGCAGCACTGGCTTTATTGCTTCTGAAATTACAGCTTGCCTCTACCCCCGGCGATGTTCCCTGTTCCCATGGCTCGTGATGCTGCTGGAAGCACATGGCAGCGTGGCCGTGAGGCTGTTTGGACCCATGATTATGGGTTATGGGGTTTCAGGAGCTGAAGCTGAGTTGGTGACTGCAATGTGAGGCTGTTTCCCTCCCATGCTGTGCCATGGATGCCCCGTTGAGTCCCTCAGTGCTGGAAGCAGCCAGGCACAATGAAACACACCGGTTCAAAGCACAGGGCAAGGGGAATCTGGCTGCAAAGACAGGGGATGTCAGTGGAGCTGGGGCAGATCCCAGGCCAGGTCCTTGTGCTTGGGCTCAGTTACTTGTAGGAAGGGAGAAGAGCTCTGGACTTCATTAGGAGGATTAACTCCTCCCTGGGATGGAAGTGAATTTGCTGCTTAGGCTGATGTGCGAGCTGAGCTGGACCTCAAGCAGTGTGCGCTGGACCTCAGGCAGACATGCCTTAGCATAGATCTCCTGTGGTGTGGCAGGAGGGTGGATGTGGATGATGGTAGCTGACTCCTCAGCCTCTTCCTTCCCAGATAAAGGATGGGGATGGGTCTGTGGTGTGGAATTCTTGCAAGAGAACAAACCTGAGATTCAGTCACCTGCCAGGACACCTACAGCTCTTGTGGGACAAAGCCCTTTCCTCTCATTAACAGGACCCGGCTGCCTCTTGGGCTTCTTCAATAACATTTTGTCATTTGCTGATCAGAATTGATGCTTTATACCTCTGGCAATTTCCCCCTCCTCACATAGCTCCAGCACCCTGGTAGTGTTCATGTGAACTCACCTCTTGGTGGCCTTTTGATTGTGCAAGACGGTTTTCACATGGCACTTGTTCATTTACATCTGCAAGAGGACCTGAGGGAACAAATTCCAGTCTAAATATCCCAGACAATATTCCCTTTCCTAGCCAGTATACTGAGACAGAAACCCATGAGTCAAGCAAACCAGAGCTGGGTTTGGTTGTCGCATTCCTCAGTGGGTTTTGTGATTTAAGACCAGCCCTGTTGACACTGTTGGGAAGGGGATGGAGCCCCAGCACGGCAGAGCTGGCAGCCAGTGCTCTTCCTTAGACCTGCGTGAGTGAGGAGAGAAAAATCACCGTGGTTTTCAGCCTGTGTTTGGCCACACTACACAATGAAAACACTGCCTGTGCAGCAGAGCAGTTGAAAGGGTGAATGAATTCTCTAATGAAGCTTCTGGGATAAACCCCGTGTATATTCCTGCTGGGAAACAACAGCTGATTTGTGTAGTTTAAAGCCTGCACGCAGCTCGATGCAGACCTCCCTTTCCAAGGTGGCGAAGCACTGGTGCCTCTTCCTGCCCAGCACCTGCCTCCTGCAGGGAACTGGCTCCCAAAGTCCTGCTCTCCTGGAAAAACCTCAGCCCCAAGGCTCTGTTCCCCATCTCCCTCTCCTGTAACTGCAGGAGCCGCTTGACAGACAAGCTCTGATCCATGCGAGTGAGCACGGGCAGGGCAGGTGCAAGGTGTATCAATGGGGGCATTGCTGCTGCTTGCCAAAACAACCTCTCACGGATCTGCCCGGCTGTTTGGAATGGAAACGTGCCCAAAGCTTCACTTTATGGAAACATTTCCAGCTCCATAACACAGGAATGTGCCCCCAGCCCCGGGAGCTGCGGGTGAGCTGGAGGCCCTCAAACCCCCCCAGGCCAATGTGTGCCATGTGTCAGGGAGGAAGAATGTGGTGTGGTTGCTGTATCAAAGTCCACCTCTGCTCCCCTGCTCTACAGCTTTTAGTGACCACCCCTGATTCCCCAAATGCTTTTCTAAGCAAAGGATCCAGCTGGGAATACCCTGAACCTGGGGGGCTCCCAAGGGGTTTGGTGGACTTGGCTGGGTCCTTGAGTTGCCAGGTGCAATCCGGATGGTTGTTGGGAGGGGAGTGGACCTGAGACTGGCTGTAGGGAAAGGGGGACCCTGCTCCTCCCACCCCAGGCTGAGACACAGACCTTGGACCTCTTGACTTGCTGCACAGCGTGGAAAAACCAAAGATTTGATTCATTCTCCAAGCTAGGTCCTGGGTTTGTTACACCCTGCCAGATAAAGTCATCCTTTTTGTAACACGCGGCTTCACTGACAACAACAAGAATCCTTCAGTTAGAGGTGTGACTCAGGCACAAATAGCTCAATAGCTCATTACCAAGCTGGTTTGAACCAGATGGTAGTAGGTATGAGTACGACATGGCTTAATACTGAAATATTCAGCCTTATTTGTTTGGGGGGTTTATTCTAATAGGCAGAGGAGGAGAAAAACCCTTTTGTAACTCTGGAATTTGGCTCTTCTAGTCAGAAGCAACAAGGTAAAAGCTGGATGTGGCTTTTTCTGTATTATGCCCATGGTCAAAACACTTGCTCAGGTTTTCCCAGCCTGCAGCAGGATGGAGCCTCTTCAGCCTCCCCTTGTCGGTGGTACAACCTGCACCGAGGGGATGGCTGGGAAGCAGATGGGTGCCCAGGCTCCTCCGAGGCGTGTGTGAATCCTTCTGCTGTGGTATAATAAAGGCAATCTCTAAAGACAAAATAGTTCTTTCAGCGTGGACAGATCTACAACTACAGTTGATGATCATGTTGCTGGATTAACTTGGCCTTGGCTAGACAAAGGAATCATTCAGCCAGGGGAGAATGACCCAGTTACAGGCTTGAAACAGAGTTAATTTGTTTTTTAGATTAAAAGAAAAAACTGGAATCTTTTTAACTCCAGGGGATCGAAGTATTTGATGAATGGACCTTGCAATTCGGATCCTCCCCACCCAGGCAGGCGCTGACCCTGTCCCTTCCCGCTGGTTACAGACCTCTCTGGTTCCTCATCTCTCTCCAAGGAGCCTCCCAAGTACACACCGTGTGTTGACTCAGCCACCGGCCTCCCCACCCCGAAACAACCTCGCCTGTCAGGAGCAGTCAGAGCTGTGTCCTGCTTCCCTCCCAGACCTGCAACCTGCCACGGCCTGGGATTTGTCTGATGAATGCTGCTTTGCAGAAGCCTTTAGGAAAACCTTGAGGAGGGGAAAAGGAAGGGAAGAGAAGGAAAAGGGCCTTTCAAACTTCCAATTCTTTTTATTACTGATTTCTGTCCACTTAATAATTTTCTGGCTATTGTATCTCTTGTGCTGTGTAAAATTAAAGCCGCTAAGAACATGCCACAGATCCACAGTACCTGAATGGAGCATAACAGCAGGGCAGGGTCCTGCCTGGTTATACTGAGCACCATCTGAAACGAGGAACCTCAATTCCAGTATCAGGTGTTGAAGAATAATTTCGATGGGGACTTTGAGTGCATTAGCTCTCTGAAGCTGGGAGCTGAAATGGTTTCAGAGGTCTGTTTGAAGTGGTATCACACCCTTCTCAGGCTGAAGGAGGCTTTTAATGGCTCAGGTTACTGGTCACATTTAGAAAACATTTGGAAAACACTTATAAAATCAGCAAACACACGCTGCTCTTTCTAGAGCAGCAGTTTTTCCTCCCCAGATGCAGGAGCAGATGTGGGTTCAGCCTTGGGCACTTGCCCTCTTCCAGTAACAGACTGGGGTGACACTGGCACGGATGAGGCGCTGGTTAAACTTGCATCAGCTTTCCATCATAGTCACACTGCAATCTTTTCCTGTCATGGGTCAGTGTTGGTTGTCATGTAACTTAGAACTTCCAGTTAGGGGTTAAATGGTTTCTCTTCTCCATGTTGGATGCATGAAACTACTTAATTCTATTCTATAAAGGAGTTTTTATTCCTTTAAGTGCAGGCTCCCTTACTTAAAGACAGGTTACTGAATACTGAATTCTTCACACTTACTTGTGCAGGGATTTGAATCTCAACCTGAAATGGTAATCTGAAATCCTAAAATGTTTAAAATACATATTTATCCAAAGCTTGTATAACAGCAATAATATACAGATAACAATGCATAATTGAGTTTATATCTTATTTTAGCCTACTAATTCCAAGCAGTGTGTGCTTTAAGGCAAGTTGCTCCAGACTAGGTTGTAGCAGAGCCACCAGTGATTTCAGCAGAGCCAGATTTTCACCTCTAAGGAAATCTGAAGAACCCCAGTCCAGTGACTGTGCACTCAGTGGCCCTGAATCTTTGATGGAGTGTTTCCTAATTATCACTGTCAAATGCTAGTTAATGTTTTATGAACTCGCTCTTCTTTTTCCCTCCTGCAGCTGACTCAAGATGACGACAGCCGCACCACTGGTCAATAACACCCAGCTCTTGGTAAACGTGACCACAAAGTCTCAAGAACAAAGTCTCTATCAAAGTAAGAAAAGCACTGGGGAGGTGGCTGTGTTTGCTTTATTTTAAGTGGACCTTGAACTTCGCAAACTTCAAACCATACAATGACAACTTTGTACATAAGGCTTCTTCCCCTTTCTGCTTCCCTGCCAGGCTCTGGAGCCATAGTTGCTGCCATCGTAGTAGGAGTGATTATCATTTTTACAGTGGTTCTGCTCATACTGAAAACATACAACAGGTATGTGCCAAGCTCTGTACTTCACTAAGGTGAGAAAGGATGAACCAAGGTCACTGCTGAGTGTGCTTTCACCTAATGGACCGCTTCAGTATTGGTTGCTGCAAGTTTCCAGGACATGCTAAGCTAACTTGACTGAAATCCTTCCTCTCCCTGCTGCTGTTCTGTGACTGAAGTGCTGGGAAGTGGGAGGAGATTCGTGATGGAGGATGTTGGATGGAAGCTGTTCCTAGAGGTCCCTGTTGACACAAGGGAGCATTCTGGTGTGCATCGTGGCTGCCAGAGGAGCCTGATTTTGCACTTTTCAGGGTGCTGGGTTACACTTACATGCTCTAGGGGCCCTGAGTTGCCATTTAGTATCTTTGGGATGAAATCCTGTCTTGTACTGACTTTTAAGAAGCTGTTTGTTGTAACCTGCTTCTGCAGCAGGCTTCCCAAGACTTACCAGCTCTAGTGACCATCTCATTTTTGCCTTTACAGACGCATGAGAGTGAAACGGGAGCTGGAGCCCAAACCCATCAAAGCAGCAATGCCACCTGCATTAGGGCAGCCCAGCCACAACCTGCCTCAGCATCCCACAGTGACCTTCATACCTGTGGATATCCACATGCAGAACAGGTAACTGGGAACATTCGTCCTCCCTGTGAGAGCAGAGCAGTGGAATTCTCATTTGTGTGGATCTGGGACTCCTCAGCAAAGTGAATCTGCATTTGGAGCTGTTACTCTGTCTACAGATGGTAATTAATCCCACTTCCTGTCTTTGAGAGGAGAAATAAAGGGTCTGGATGGTTTCTCTGTGACTGAAATCAAGTGGTGGAGGCATGTGAATCACCAGCAATGCAGCGAGCTGCCTCACAGAGCTCTGGGCATGAGGGACCAAACATACCGAGCCTGCCTGCAGGAGGAGAAGGTGGGCACTCATCTTCTGTGGAGCTTTTTGTGTTTTACAAAGACTGATGATAAATGGGAAGAAACCTGGGGACATGAACCTGGGTTAGTTGATTTATGTGAAGTGGGTTTGCAGCCTTGGTTCTACATGATGGATGGTACAGGAAGTATCAAACCTGTATTTATCCTTACCTTCTGTTTTTCTAACACCACGTATGTATGGTTTGCAATAAAAAAGGGACTTTCTATTTTCAAGTATTTTAAACCATTTCTCTGCTGTTGGTAACGTCTTCCTTTTCAAAGGGACTCGGTGTCTTGGTGTCTCCACTCTCACACCAGGAATTGCTTTTGGTTCACTATCAAATGTTTTTTTGTATAGAAACCCTTTAACTGGAGAAGTGAACAAAGAAAGGCAGTGAAAGCACCAAGGCTTCATCTGCACAACTCGTGTCCTGAGACGCTTCGTTCTCCAACACAGACCAGGCTTGAGCTATTTTTAGGTATTTTTTCTTCTAGAAAATCACTGCCAGTGATGTTGTTTTGCAAGGGTGATGGCTGTGGGTGTGCAGTAATGCAACAAAGACATTCCCAAGGACCTTCACAGCCCACAGAGTGCCAACACACAGCAGCATTGTCAGATGTGGAGTGGCGATGGTCCCAAGCAGGCCTGAAACGCTGACAGGACAGGCAGGGAGGACTGGGAGGAAGCTGAAGTGGGGCATTTTACCTCTTTCTGGGGAGCTGTAGAGAAAGGAGTGACCATTTTCTAACAGAATGTATCCCCAAGAGCTTCCAAAGTGAGGCTGACCTCAAACAGGTCATTTTTACTAACTGGTGTTTTTGTGCAGAAACTGAATTCGATTACTTTGCTTTTTGTTTTTTGGTATGAAACTGGAGCACAGTTTGAATTCCAAACTAAATATTAAGACAGCTGTTTGTTGTAAATATTCTACTTGTCCTAGTTCTCTAACTTGGAGTCAGCCTACTCTTTCTATCTCTGGGCAGCTGAGGATGTTGCCTGAGCATGTTTCACTTATCAAAGTCAAGATCTTTAGGAAACATAAGCCCCATCTTAGAGGTATTTTTAACGTTACCAGCCAGAGCTACTTCTAGCAAATTTTGGTTACTTTCCATTGACAGAATTTAAGCACAGTGAGGCTCACTTTTTGCTTCACTGAAGCAGAATAAGCAGTGCTGCAGCAATTCTGGACTGGTAGGATTACTTGTAATAATTGGCAGCATTACTGCTTTGGCCACACTAGGGTGGCTCAGTCTGAACAACTCAAAGCGTGCTGTTTTACCAGTGAAATTTGCCTCATCCTGGCACAGCCAGGGAGGCCCCACGGATCCATCCTCACTCCTGCCAGCAAAACCCAGAGCTTTGCTGACCAGGCAAAATCACCTTCTTAAGAAACAGAACTCACTCTGTTCCCACTGCTCTGCCACTTAACGCTTGTGTAGCTTGTTGTGGATAGAACAGTTTTCCAGGCATTGTCCCACACTGTCCTTGTCCTGCAGTAGTAACTGTTCCAGCACCAATTCCACCTGCCCTGTCCAGACACCCAGCTCCCACTTTCATTCCTGCCCTGAGCTGCTATCAGGTAAACCTGCTGCTTAGAAAACCCCAAGCTAACAAAGCACCTGAAAGCTGATACCAGACTTGTCTATTAGAGACATCCAAGACTCTGGAAGCTTTTGGAGAGAATAAGCAAAGCAAGTGGAATGCTCACTTGCGATCACACAGACTCATTAAGAGATGGTCCACGAAGCCCTGCAAACTAATGCAAAGCTGGTTAGAGGCACCAAAGCGCCCTTCTGCTTGGCAGTGTAGTGATGTGATCTTAGCAGTCCTGTGGTATGATGTTTGGACTTCATCTTAAAGGCCTTTTCCAACTGAGTTGATTCTATGATACACAGGCTTTCTAGATCCTTCCTGTGTGCTCTGGTCAAGTATCTCTCTTTACAACACCCTGGCCGGGCCGTATTCAGCAGTGACAATGGGCACAGTTGGGCATATAAATAATGACTGCACGTTTTCCTAAGGGCACAGTGGGGAGTTATCTGCGCTGGGTCGAGCAAGGATTAGCGTGGGTTTTCTTCATTCTTTTCACCTGGAAGTCCTCTCGCAGGCCCGCTCTGCCAGGCCCGCACAGTTCCCTCACCCAAGCCCACGGGTAAAGCGTTCCCACCTCTCGCTGCTGCTGCTGCTGTCACCCCCAGCTACGGCCGCTGCGCTGGGCCGAGCCCGCAGCTCCACCTCGCGTCCACTCCGGCTGCCGCTCACCTCGCCCTGCAGTCCCTCAGGTGCCGCTGCCGACTGCACACCGACAGCCGCTCTAGGCGGATGGACTCCCTGAGCTTCGGCTCCTTCCCCTGCCCCACAAGCAGTTGATTTTCCAGGAGCCAAGGTGCGACACTACTGAGCGCCGGCAGAGCCGTGTGCTGTTAAACCTCACTTCATAGCCAGAAACCCAGTGTTTCCTTTTTAATTATAGCTTATTTCACATAACCCCCCACCCGGGGCCGTTACTGTGGATAAACCTTCATTAACTTACTGTTAATTACTTCTTTAACCCCTGCAGGGACACCCGCCGCACGCGCTACCTCACGACCTCCCCCCCTGCGGCCCTTATCCTCTGCGCGGCCGCAGCCGGCCGCGAGGTCACCTGACCCGCGCCCCGCGCGCGCGCCCCGGACGGCCAACATCTCGCGAGAGGAAAGCTCACATCTCCCCCTCTTTCCCCCCTCCCTCCCGTCCCGCGCGCCGCGGAAGGACGTCTTGCAGCCGCCCCTTCACCCCGGCGGAACGTCGCTCTTTCTGATTGGTCGTCCGCCGCGCGCGCTCCGGCCCTCCGCGTCATTAGGAACCAATCGAGAGGCGCGGAGAGCCTCTGCGGAGCTCCCGGCCCCCCCCCCGCCCCACCTCTCAGAGCGCCGAGCGTGCGTAGGGGCGTGCTGCGCGCAGGGCACGCCGGGAAGTGCAGCGCGCGCGGCCGGAGGAGGCGGAGGAGGCAAGATGGACGCGGGGTTCTTCCGCGTAAGTGCCGGCCCCGGGGCGGGCGGGGAGCGGTGGGGTCGGCCCCGGTAGGGGATGTGCGGCTTGAGCCGGGCCGGGCAGGGCCGCTGCGGGCCTCGCCGCCGCAGGCGAAGCCGCAGGCGCCGCGTTCCGCCGAGGAGCGGAGCCGTGCCCCCGCCCCCGCCCTGCGCAGGCTCCTGTGAGGAACCGCCGCGAAGAAAATGGCGGCTGGAGGAGGCCGGGGCGGCCTGGCCCAGCCGCAGAGTTGCGGAAACCGGCAGAAGGGGGACGCGCCGCCGCAGGCCGGGCTCGCGGGCGCGGACGGTTGCTCTGTGCGCGGCTGGGACACCTGCGCCCGTTATGCGGCCTTTGCTGAGGGCCCCGGCGCGGCCTGGCGTTGCCGGTCCCGCGCTGGGCCCCAGGGCGGCGACCCCGCGGGAGGAATAGGGTGTCCAACGGCCGCGGGGTTGGCCTGGGCGGGTGTGTGTTGCAGTCCGGGCACAGCGTGACGGCCCTGACCGGCGGTGGGAAGTCATGCCTAGGGGGGTGCGTAACGAACTCGCGTTTGCCGTGAAATGCACTTTGGTGTCCCCGTTCCGAGCAAATAAACTGCCCTTGTTTTAGAGGGGAGCCTTAAACTGTGACACGAAGGTTATGTGTATTCAAAGCGAAAAGAAGTTGTTCTTTATCTTTAGGCTGGTATTTATTTTCTTTTATAATAATTACTTCTTTTCTTTTCTTACAGCTCTGCTGTATTTCCTGCAGAGACTCTTAACCCGTAGCCTGCCTGGGGTATCTTTCTTTTCAGCCTTTTATTCCATTAATAGAATGAACCAATTTTGGGGGGTTTCTTGACAATTTTAAAAACCAGTTTAATTCTACAAGACCCAGTCACCTGTTCAGCCCCATTTTTATTATTTTTCTTGCAGCTGGGGTGCTTTTGAGATGTGAGGGCACACAGAACCCTCCACTTAATTCCATTTTCTGTTAATGCATAGAGAAAAATCACCGAGTTAAATCTGCACTTGTTCTGTCTAATGCAATTGTGAAAGAGTTTATAGGTGAAGTAGTTGTAATTGATAGCAGAATGAATGGGGCTGGAAACACAGTGTTTGAAATCTAATATTCTTTTAAACTGGCTTGTGGAAGGTAACTGCATAAAACCAATGATAGAGCCCTGACAAGGGGGCTGTAAGCAGTGTCCTGGACTGGGTTGAGGAGAAACCCAGGTTCTTGTTGGAACTGCAGAAGTGCAGCAGAGCAGCAGTTTGGACTCACCTTATCAAGTAAACTGCTCTTAATCCTTTCAGGTCTTCACACTGCTGTAAGGTGGTCAGTGCAGACAACTGTGGCTCTGCCTTGAAATGCCCGTGATAGAGTGCTCTGCCTCTTGTTTGGTTCCCCTTCGTGCTTGCCAAGTGTTGTAAATGGGCTGAGGAAAACTTCAGTCCTTTCAATTTCATTTCTGGGTTGTAAAAGAGAAGTAAAGAAACAAATAAAGTACATTAAATTGCTGAGTGCTGTGACAAGTAGCGTGTGTTGCTACTGCGTAAGCCACACAGCATACTGCAAGTATTAAAAAGAGTTTTAAACAGACTTAATCCTGATAAGTGCCTGTGCCATGATCAGTCTTTAGGATTCCTGTGTTCCAGAACAGGAAGCGGGAGTGTTAATAGCTTGTTCCCTTTCAGTATCTGATGACTTTGTAGCATGTGACATTGCTAATGCAAGGTGCTTTTGATCCAGGGGAGTGGTTGGCTTACCTTAGGATTTGAGCTTTTTCTTACAGTCTTTTGGTTCCTCAGCAGCTTATAGTACTGCTGGTACTCAACCCCTTCTTCCACACACAGGAAATTGCAGGTATTAAATTCCCCTGTTTTCTATCAGCCAGGTTGGTTTCCTGGATAAACTTCACATGAAGTGTGAACTGTGCCTTTGTTCTGAACCATTAACAGGTCATTGGGATTTGGATGCTGTTCTTGGCATCCTCCTCTTCATGTGTGCTTCTGTTTACTTCTGTGCAAGAGCTGGACTTTCTTGCCTTTCAGTTCCAGATGAATTAACCTATAGTTTCTGCTCATGAAAGTGGAACGAGTTGGTGAACTTTTAACAGAGCATGATCAATAAAGTAGCATTCTTTGTACTCTTGCTGGCTCTGTGTTGGCTGATTTTCTGCAGAGAGATTGACCCAAAGGTTTCATAGATGTCACTGTAAATAAACAGTGTGACATTTTTGTTCTTGAACAGAGGAAAAAGAGCTCAGTTCTGTTGTGATTTCCAGGCTAAGTCCCTTCCATAGCAATTTGATGCTACTATACTTTTAAATATGTAAGTAGTAACCCAGGGAGATTATACGAGTAAGGAGTCACTGTGGAGCTCGGGAGCCTGCTTTCCTCTGAATCTTCTGACAGTAGATGGAGACTACAGTGCTAAAATTGAAAGGCATCTGAAAAGGCTTTTTTTTGCTTACAGACTGGTATGACTGGTGTTGCTGTGCACTTTCCAGGGCCAGTATATGCGAAACTGATACTTGTAGATACTTGAATGTCATAAGACTAAAAATCTTGTTTCCTGTGCTTTAGGGAACAAGTGCAGAACAGGACAATCGCTTCAGCAACAAGCAGAAGAAGCTGTTGAAGCAGTTGAAATTTGCAGAATGCTTAGAAAAGAAGGTAAGTTGATTAGGATGAGAAGGGAAGACACATGAATCAAAGACAATTTCCAGTGGAGTAATTGGGTATCTTACAGTACCTACAAGAATGTGAGGAATGTTTTCTCTAAAACCATACTGGAGGATATTCAGAACATCCACTTGAGCATCAAAGCTACAGTAGTAATATATATGGTCTAGTTACAGTGCTGAGTATGACCAGTAGGCTTGGATGTGAAATGCATCTTCAAAGACAAAAACCGATTTCTGAAAGAGTTGCTTTCCAAAGAGTTAGGTAAAACTAAACACGTGTAATTCATACTGTTCCAAAAAGGTAATATGTGGTTGTAGTTTCTAGGGATAAAGGGGTGAATAAAACATCTAAGAAGTGTTCATTTCTCCACAGACTTGGACTGTGCTCTCACTTTGGGTAAGGATTTTATAAATAAAGAGATTTGGAATGGTTGAATTCTCTTCTAACTTTGAATGGTTTTGTGGAAGTGTAGTAGGCAGCTGGCAGGGGGCTAGTGAGCTGAATCGAGACTACTGCTTTACCTTTCAGTGGGTTTCATTATTTACTGGAAACTGAATTGTACTAAGGGAGTTTGCTGTCTTGTCTAGCTAGTGTTTATTACACTTTACTAGAAATTTACTGTGTTTTTATTTTTCTTAACATGTCTTGATTCAAATTTTAGCTATTTGGGAGAGAGAGAAGTCTAATTTAGAGGAACAAAAGGGGGGGGGAAGTACAGTATCCAGTCTTGTGCTGGATATGTGCATCAAAATGCTGTTGTTCAGCAGACATTAGAAACAGAATCCTTGTGCTGGATATGTGCATCAAAATGCTGTTGTTCAGCAGACATTAGAAACGGACATTAGAAGCTTGTGTATTTAGTGGAAGGGCTTGTTCTGAAAATGTTTCTCCTGGCTCTTTAATACAGGTGGACATGAGCAAAGTAAATCTGGAGGTAATCAAACCATGGATAACAAAACGAGTAACAGAAATCCTTGGATTTGAAGATGATGTAGTAATTGAATTTAT